TACCTCTTACCTCGGTATTGCTTCATTGCTCTTTACAACCCTCTAAAATGAATCAATCTCTAATTAAGCGTTCATCTTTCAAAAAAAAAGAGCCGTGAAAAAAGACTACTTAGAGAGAACCAGTAGACTCACATATGTGGTATAGCAAAAAGCTCACCAGGCTTTCCGAAGGTCTTCCAAAGTTTGACCGCTTTTACACTCATTGTCAGTCCAGTCCTTGTATCCGACCACTTTTAGATGAATAATTATTATTTGTTAAGCCACCTAACAGGGACCTGTGAATCCTTCAAGCTTAAAAAGGCTCTTAACTTAAGGGAAGAACCGGTGTTGTGTCTTTAAATTGCTCTGAGAGATGCATCTGGAACTACAGTTGATCCATCTGCTGTTCCCTGAAGCCTCATCAGAAATGGTCTCAATAGAAGTATGGCTATCAAGAAGCCATTTTAAAGAAAGGAAAACAGGGACGAAAGGGTGAGGCATAGCAAATTACATAAGAACTGGACTGAAGATAAGTTGTAACAGGTTTTATGGAGTGATGAAATTTGAAGGTTTTAGTTTAAATTGTCAGTTTTCAGAGGAGGTCAGTACAGAGGTAAATCTGTGTCTGCAGACAATTGCGAAACATGGTGGAGGCTCTGTCATGGTTTGGTGCTCCATTTCAGCCAGTGGTTATGAGCATCTTGGCAAAACTGAGTGAATTATGAATGCAGAAAATACAGTCAGATTTTTTATACAGCACACAATACCACCTGGAAATCATCGCAAAAGGTTCATTTTTCAGCATAGTCCAGCGAATTGCACTTTTAATTCCCAGTTCAAACCTATAGTAGATTAACCCTAATCCCCAATGTCCAAATATCCCCCAAAAAGCCATGGGATGGAGAGGTCCCAAGTTGATCTGATAATCTGTTGCATTCTTCTGTGTCTTTTTTATTAATCACACTGTTTAAAATCATGCACAGCACAAGAATCAGCCATGTTAGACCAGTTTAAAGTAAATAAAAGGAGCACCACAGCAGTTTTAAGTTGAGTGTTGTTTTTTTTTTTTTCATTCTGCAACGGTGTGGTATGATTGCATCATTAGTATATGATGCAATTCAACTGTTTTCACTTACACTTTTTTCAGATAAAGTTCTCCATTCAGATTTACTACATTTCCTTTTTTTGGAAAACACAAAACAGAAGTTTGATTTGCTTGTTTCTTTAAACACACACACACACACACACACACACACACACACACACACACACACACACACACACACACACACACACAC